CGACTTGTTATAGCTGAAATGTGGCTTACACTTAAATAAGTACTTAAATGTTGCTTTTTCTACTTAGTCATTAACAAGAATAGTTCAAATAACTACCTATCTTTTTATTGACTTAAAATTTTTTTAATAATGAATTATATTAAAGAATTACTGAACGTTTATTGAACGATGAACCAATTATTAGTAAAAAATGGCGATCAGAAAAGGGAAAGCAGTTAATAAGAAGACGAGGCACATTCTCAGATAAAAAGAATGTGTTACTCTTGTAAATCTAGGGTGCGGTCCACTTAACCCTGCAAATAGTTGCAAGCATTCTTTGATTGGTCAATTCATAAAATTTTGTCTCCTAATTGATCAAACGAAGCATTTGCAGGGTTAAGTGGATCGCACCCCTAGAACTCTAGCATGAACGAGGTTGATCATTCACGCGCTGAATTATACCATCTCGCGATCGATAACGTGCTATTCGATCGTCTAATCGAAACGCGCGCTATCCGCCGCTTAATTAACCGTCAGCGACGAAACGGAGAGGAATCAGACCGTTATCGGAGATCCGAGAGACGAGACGAGCGCCTTTATCAACCATTGTCCACAGCCGCTGGGAGATGCTGCTACTCGACCGTGAAATGAGAGTATCATTGAAGCGAGAGAGAAAACGAGTTTCGGACTCGCCCTGGCGATAATATATGTATAATCGATCGCGCAGAAGCTGATTCGGAGGATAATCGAACAGCGAACGTCGAGCGTAAGCAGAATGTCTAAATGAGATTCCGTATATTGCAATGAAGGAATGTCTGAAATGTCACGTACGCACGAAGCACGATTTGTTAATTCCATAGACTATAATAGACTGCACGCTTCCATTAGAAATGTGAAGACAACATTAGTAAGAGAGAACAATAATTAATCAAATACTCTCTCCAATATACGTTGAACAAGGAAAGCATCTGATCAATTATTATTATTTTCTTTTATACGGAAAAAATTTTTGAAGCAGTAAAAAAAATTATGCTAAAAATTAAATACAGATTGAAAAATAATTGGGCCATTAAAATAATTATGTAGCTCGAACATGACAAGCAATGGCATAAAAAGTTTTTATATTCTTGCAATTTGAGCGTTCAATAAAGTACATCTGTATGTAGTTAAATTTTTAGATACTTCACAAAATTGTTCTTTCCATGTATTTACTAATGTTGTCCTCATATCTCCAATGGAAGCGCTGTTACATACAAGATGTAATATTTTAAAAGACAGTAGCAACTGTCCTTGTGCTAACTTTATTTTGAACAAGTTGTGCGAGATAAAGATGTGTTCGCTGCAAGAGACGGCTGAGAATAAACTACTTCAAATCGAGAGATCTTATTTTGTTCGATTGGAAGAAGGAATTTTCGTTAAAAAATGGCCTATGACGTGACGCATTCTAATACTAAAAAATATCGATTTAATAAAAGGGATTCTCAAAAAGAAGAGAAGAACGTGAGGATCGATACAGAATGCAAAGACCTATTTAAATACGGAAAGAAGGATTTTATTAAAGTATCTAAAAATTGAGTTAGATAATTTAGTTAAGATACAGATTTGGAAATAATTTTATTAGATCCATCAAAATTATATAGGACGCTCAAGTTGGTTGCCAAAATGTCAAAACTTTTTGCAGCATTGCTTATTATACTTTATAGGCCTAACTGATTGTGGATCGGAAATTGAGGAGTGTCTTAGATAAAAATAGGTATATGTGTATGAGTCATGAAGTAAGGATTTAAGCAAATAGCAGGATCAAGCTTTATTAGGATACTTTATTAAAGTAGATTATGCAATATATAGTCAGATGGATAATGATGAAGATAGGCATTGCTTTATAGAAATTTAATACTAGTACTAGCTAATTAATAATCACTTACTTTGAGTAAATATTAACAGTATTTTTAATACTAAAAATAAGTGATTAATTAGCCAGTAGGTACTATAATATTAAACTTCTCTCTATGAGGATTGTTTGTCGAGAAAATTATAAAATATTTCAGAGTAGAAAAACGTAACAGCTCTCATCTCTATTATATATGTATATAAGCCTATGGTTAATGCGATGCCTGGAGCTTGCTGCGGCTCGGCTGCGGCATACATATGTAACATTCCCGCGACGGAAAATGAAGTTTTCAGCAAAATGTTGCGCGACCTCCTACTATCTAGGCTCTTCAATTGTTCCCTTCACGCGTATCTTATTCTCTTTGTATTCCACCCGGGTGGGTTCCGTGTAAACGTCACGCGCGAGGTACGCGGCGGAATCCCGCATGTATCCCGTGGATGCGATTTTACGGCAAGCCCGTGCTTCCTGGACTGCGGCAGCTCCCGCATCGCGAAAGCGCGGGACCACCGATAACGTATTCCCGGCAGACGCGGCCGTTAAATCTCCTGAAATCCAGGTTTACTCGAGCCGACGCGAGTTCCCGCGCGGTCACCGCTCGTATATGCACGGACGCGTGCACGTGCATACAAATATACACATACACGCCGTTCGCGTGCCACGGCTTCCACCGGAAGAGCTGCCTCTCCCGCTCTCTCTCTCTCTCTCTCTCTCTCTCTCTCTCTCTCTCTC